CCTACAACAGCCCAGAAGCTGGCATCTATGACAATTACTTTGAAACAAAGCATCTCCCTGTGATTGCATCTAACTTTAAAACAGAATCTCCATGTGGCACCACAGAATCATATACTAATCTCCCATTTGACTTTGAAACTATGTATTTTCCTAATTATTTTGACAAAACTTAAAGCAACTACCCAGTTGGCAATATTGTATGGATTCTGAAACTACATAAATTCCCAACACCCTTCCAGAACCTTAACTAAATCATCACACCATCATCTGAACACAGAAACTATGAATTAATCCATGACATGGGTACTGCATCTCTTATCCCTCCCTTCAGCATCTTCATTTGTTGCCATTTGCAGGACATTCTTTTCCATTTCAGAAACTCATCTATAATCAAGCTTATTTTTTTAAATCCATAAGTATGTGCTCTTAATGTTGAGTTGAAATTTTTCTACATAAACAGAGTACAATGTTACCACAATCTATTGACCTCAACCTTATAGGATATAGAAATTTGATATAGGGGGATCCCTGGGTGGCGCAATGGTTTGGCGCCTGCCTTTGGCCCAGGGCGCGATCCTGGAGCCCCGGGATCAAATCCCACGTCGAGCTCCCAGTGCATGGAGCCTGCTTCTCCCTCTGCCTATGTCTCTGCCTCTCTCTCTCTCTCTCTCTCTGTGTGTGTGTGACTATCATAAATAAATAAAAATTAAAAAAAAAGAAATTTGATATAACATATTCAGCATTTCTAATGATATTACATACTGAACTTTATTACCTCTGAAAAGGGGAAATCCACTTTGTCAAAAAGTTTGGAAATATTTTTCTGATGCCTAATCTGAACAAAACTTTAAAAGATTAGTAAAAACATAGTTACATTCTATTTACTAGATTTTAGGTGTACTTAACTGAGCAGCTGTCCTTCTGACATTCACAAAAATACTCCATAAAAAAGTGGCTTTGCTGCATATTTCCAAGCACATGCCCTAATTTCCTCTGAAAGAGTATCAACTAGTCAACAATTATAAAGAATATTGTAAATTTAAAAGTCAAGCAAGTGTTGATTCAATTCAACTGAGATTAATTTTTCTACCACATGCAGGATCCTTTGCTGGGTGCTGCAATAAGCAAGACACAAAATCTTCTTTGAAATCTAATATCCCAGCATGAGCACAAATAGCAATAGCATCAGCCAAAGTAGAATAAAATAAATAAGAAAGTCACAAATTCCCAGAAGTTTTCAGAAAAGGTAAAGGCTGACCCCTAATTAGGGGAAGGTAGAAAGACTTAATGGAAATTGTAGCATATGGAAGGATCTTTAAGGCCGAAGAGAACATTGACAGCAGAGATCAAAAGTGAGACCCCAAGCAGAGGGAATAGCAGGAAGAAATGGAGAGAAACAAGATGAAAATACACTAGGGATGTCTTCTGACCCCTAGTGCATATTTCCATTTCACCTGCGCACTGAACAGTGATCAGACACTTGCTATTTTTGCCCACAAGAATTCAGGCAGGAATTCTGACTTACTCAGTCTTGTGCCCTAGCTCCTAGTACAATGCTTGGTCCAGCACAATTTAGGTTTGTGTTGAATAAGTATCATTGGAATGACCATGCATCAGGGAATGCTGACTGCAGTTTCCACTTATTCCACTTATCAAATAAATCAAATTTATTTGATTTATTCTGCCAAGCTCTGGATGCAGTTAATAGCCATCTTGAATCCTGTTAACACTGTGGTTGAATGATTGAGTGGAGGAAGGAGAAAGAGAAAGTTTCCGGTCTGCCTTACTCTTTCATTGTCAAACAGGGTCTTAGGCTGGGATTCACAGAGACAACCTTGGTTAAGGGTAATTCCAGATCTTCCCACAACCATTGGGTGTGATGGAGTTGGGAAGATAGTACATTACTTGTCTTGAGAAAGCCTAAAAAGCTCAAGGATGACAAATCACTAGACATTTCCACAAAGATTCCTCTAAACCAGAGATTTTTAGGGCACTTTGGTGGCTCAGTCAGTTAAGCATCTGACTCTTGATTTCAGCCCAGGTCATGATCTCAGGGTCGTGAGATCGAACGCTGTGTGGGGCTGGGCATGGAGCTTGCTTAAAATTTCCTCTCTCCCTCTCCCACTGCCCCTCCCATGCTGCCCATACTCTCTCTCTCTCTCTCTCTCTCAAAAATCATAACAATAAAATAAACCAAAGACTCTATCCTGACCTATCAGGAGACCCATGAAACCCCTAAAGTTTTCTGATACATGAGCATATGCACTTTTCTGAGAAGATGGTGATTCAATCAGATTCAATCAGATTCTCAAAGAAGTCCATAACCTAAAGAAATACAACTAAAACCAATTAGAAAGATCAAGAAATGTCTAGACCTATAGGTCTAAATGATGTCATCTGCAGTTCATAAAACACTTTCATGAATCCTGATATCTTTAGTCATTTTAGAAAAATAAATTACCTCACTGTTTTTGCTGATGTCTCTGTTTTATAATGATTTAGGAATTTTTTCCCTTTTGTACTACATATTTCTTGACACTCAACTCCATAATTATATTATTGTAAGTTATCTGATTCCAGACTTAAAATTCCTTGTCTAAAAAATTACTCAGCCTTCTGAATTTCCCTTGTTTATTTTGGTCAAGTCTCACAGCTCAGTTTTCGAGCTAGGGCGTGTCCCATTCTCACTTGGGGCTGGAGGCATGTCTGCAATAGGAGCTGTCAATTCCTTGAATCACCTGAAGCCCAGACAGTCACAGTGATTCAGTTCCAATGAGCTGTTCACTAGCACTGTACTTTAGGCTGGAGATAGAGCACAAGTCTCCTCACCTAAGTCCAGAAATAATAGTGCCATAAAAGTCAACTCTGCCTCCACTAAAGAGAAAAAAAAAAACTTCAGGAAGCCCCACTTTCCACACATTCATTGAGAATAGTGTCCAGGGAAAGTGGATTCCCTAGTGTCATGGGCTTCTTGAATATTTAATTTTTCCACACAGTGAGGCTACTTGAATATTTAATGTTTTACCACCACCACCAAAATGTAAGCTCATGAGGATATGGATTTTTACCCCTCCCATTCACTTTTATTTCCAGGGACTGAAACGTTGCTAGCAGAACATAGGCTGAATTTATGCTGAATTATGGGTTGGAAGAACAAGTTGATTGGATAAATGAATGAGTGAATGAATGAATGTATTGAAAGCCTCTGAGAACATAAAGTTGCTTCCCTTTCACATCCTTTAGCACTTATGCTCCACTGCTCCTCCCAATCTCATCCCCTTTCCAGGCTATTCTCTGTCTCATCAATTATATTTTTTCTTCAAATCCATTTAAAACCCCATCTCTTCTCTAAAGTTTTCTTTCACCTCAACCTTGCTCCAACTCCCTGTGGCATATACCTCTACCCTTTATTCATGAACATGTGGTGACCATCTGGTTCTTTGTAATGTTATTAACATAGAAGACACTAAATGAATATAAAACAAGGCACTAAGGACTCTCCATCCAATTCAAAAGAAACATACAGTCAGGAAATAATAAGGGAGTCTTATAAGATAATGTCTAATTAAGTGCCAAAATGAGTAATAAAACAAACTAAATGGTACAGAAAGTTAAAGAATTAGGTATCTCTCCAACCCCATCTTCCACTTCCACCTTCACTCCATTTTGTTCCAATGATTCGAAACAATAACATCATCCCTCCATACCTAGACCCTTGGATTGCCTAGATGCTCTGCTTGCCTTCTTAATGAATGTTTTTAATCCTTCAAAACTCCAGCTTAGGGTCACCTCCTTGTTAAGTTTTTTCTGCCTTTCTGCCTCCAACAAAATTAACCACGCTCTCCTTCATACCTGTGAATGATCCTATTACTTCACTTACCAAGTATATACTAGCTAACCTTTGTGTTTCCCCTCCTAGGCAGTATTCCCTTTCCTATCTGACAATAACAAAAATGAACTGAATAGTTACAGAAAAGCTTTCTGGAATGTCTCATTGTCTCAGACAATTTTCCACTGATAGTCTTTCTGGACCCCAAAACAAGCCAAACTTAAGATGGCCTTCCATGCAAAATCCTGGTATGACACAATACATCATTGACGTGTACTTAGAAGTTGTTGAAGAGACCCAACCAACCTCCATGGAAACATTATTAAAGAGGTGTCATATCTCAAAATCTCCCCATGCAGCCTGGGGCCCTGAAAACCTATGGTGAGCACTTAGTTGTTCTTTTTTTTTATGACACAAACCTCAGGAGGCATTTGTGTTTTGTTCAAGTTTCAGTATCTTTTTCCTTGTTGAAAATAAAGCATACCATTCAACATTTCTGGATGGCAATCAACCTTATCTATTGAAATTAAAAATATAAATATCCTTTAATTCAGCACTTCTAGGAATAAAATCTACAGAAATACTCGCACATCTGTGAGACAGGTTTTATAAGGATGTTCATTATTCCACCTTTATAATTATAAAATACAATGGAATGGATTAAATGTCCATCAAAAAGAAATGTTATGTGTCATAACATAACCATTAAATAAATGAAATAAATCTATATGTACTAACATATGAAGTTGTCCATTATTTGTCAAGTAAACAGAGTTGCAAAGCAATGCATAATAGGCCTAATTTTTAACTATGCACAAAGCTACACATCTTGATGTTTGATTTATGTGTTCATACAAACATGACAAAACAGGTACATCCGGGAAGTCATTTGGAAGGAGATGAACTGAAAGAGGATTGTAATTTTTTATTGTCTGCACTTTTTTTAATTGCACAAGGTATGTATTCTTGAAAAACCCTCTATTCAAATGGTAGACATTGGGTAATATGATGTCTGCAGCTAATAACTCACCTAATGAAGTGTTGGGAAATGAAAGAAACCAAATGATTTCACAGACAGCTAAGTCCTGATTGGCCTCTGAGTTGCCAGCCTCCTGGAATTGAGTTTAAATTCCTTCTACAAACTTACAACTCATCAAAGGGTAAAATTATTCACCAAGAAACTGGAGAAATCAACTGGACTTTGAATATCATTTCACCTGTACATTTTGCCAAGTGGAGAGAAAGGTAATGTTAACTGATCATATTTCAAATAGAACTTTTTAAAAAATGTCTCCTCTGAAAAGGGAAAAAATAGAGTGAAAGACTGATACTATTTTGTTACTGTAGGTAGCATTTTGAAACATGAAGACTATGATTCTACTACTTTATCTTCTAGGATCAACTCAGTCATTACCGGTAAGTGCAATCTGTCTATTTTATTATCAGTTGGCCTCAGCCGCATCCACTGCTTGTAGACCTATCTTTCTTCCTGCACTCCATCAACACTGCTCTGTCCTGTGACCCATTCCCTTAGTTTTCTGTTTTTGTTTTCCAAGGTGAAAATGATAAACTAATAAGGTGGCAGTGCATATTTCAACATACTTAGATTTTTTAAAAGCATCCACTCTAACTTGATAGAATTTCAATTATGTTGGCAGAACAGTGGGGTAGAAACTAGGGGGAGGGGGAAGGAATGCCTTAAATTATATCTACTCAAAGTGGCTAATTATTTTACTTTCCAAAAAGAATTTAAGACTTTCTTGGTAACCCATTATGTTCTCATAACTAAAGAGGTAAACTACATTTTTTGATTTTACTAATTGGAAGCATGAAACATATAGACTATATAAACTCTAAAAAGATTACCAAATTGTGTGACTATATAAACTCTGAAAAAGGGGATCAAAGTGCACAACACCAGGGGAATATTACAAAGTGGCCAACTTTTTTTACTTAGAACATTAAAAAATATATTCACATATAACAAGTGTTTAAAAGAAAGGAGAACTAGTGTCCAAATACATACTCCAATTGTCCTCCAATATTTTATAGACACAGATGTGGGTGGTTTGGATCTCTAAATGGACTTCCCTTTGACCATTTGAGATGCTTGAGTGTGGACATAGAGAAAAAATTAGATGCAATTTTCTATGAAATAGGAGAACACAAAGAGACCATTCTTAATTGAACTCTCTTGACATGTCCATAGTCATCCACACAATCAACAAATACTTTTTGAAATCTCTATGTACCAAATATTGCACTAGCTGCTGAAAATACAATGGTGAGGGGTAAAAAAAAAAAAAAAAAAAGACATGATCCTTCATCCCCTCATGGTGTTTGCAACAACTAATAAAGATTTTTTAAATAAATGTTGTTATAAATTATAACTATGACTAGTTCTATGAAGATGAATAGGGTATCTTATGCGGAGGGGATAGAACCAATCTCCTTTTATTTCACTCCAAATATACCAATGTCCTTCTTTAAAGAAGCTGTCCGCAAAAAATTATTTTTGAAACAAGCTAAATTAGCAATTCTTTTGTAAAATACGGATTTTTCACTTCAAACAAATTTACCAAAAAGTTCGTCGAAATAGGGTATCTTTAGTGTATTTAAATTACCATATAATTTGTGAAAACTCAAGATAAATAAAACTTCCCAGGCATACAGCCACTATCATTCAAGGTTGACTGAGGAGTTGTGTGAAGGTTAATGCAGATTGCTAATCACCAATGATATGACAGCAGCTGGCAAGTTAGTGGGGCAGGGGATGCAGGGTGTGATACTGACATGCCTTTAAGGTACAGCAGTGGTATTTATCAAATGAAAAATCAGGACACATGGACAAGACATTTTTTATTATTTGTAAATGAGTTTATTGAATTATCATAAAGGCCTTTGGCCCAGGGAGCGATCCTTTGGCCCAGGGCGCGATCCTGGAGACCCGGGATCGAATCCCACGTCAGGCTCCCGGTGCATGGAGCCTGCTTCTCCCTCTGCCTGTGTCTCTGCCTCTCTCTCTCTCTCTCTGTGACTATCATAAATAAAAAAAAAAAAGAATTATCATAAAGGTATAAAAAATGAACCAAATTTTAAATGTGGACACATAAAAGAGTCTAGTGATTATTTTTAGCAGATCCAAAGCTTGGAAATAGGGTACACATTGGTGATGGAGTAGAATGCATATTCAGGAGAGTGGCTGGGGTAAGTGACTTTGATCAATAAGAAAGTAAACTGAAGCAAAGACTTGAAGCAGGTGAGAGAGTGAGCCAATGTCTAGGGTAAGAATATTCCAGACAGAGGAAACAGACAGAGGTGAGGTTTTGAGGCAAGAGTGAGCCCATCTGCCCAGAGATAGCAAGTATCTTTGATGGCAGCAACAAAGTGAGCAAGAAGAAGTGGGATGGGATGGAAGGTCAGAGAGATAATAGAGGTCCAGGGCATGAGGACTGTGTAGGCCATCACAGAGTCTCTGTCTGTTACTCCAAGTGAAAATGGAAGTCAATGGAGGGGTTGAGCAGAGAAGCGAAAGTACCAGACTATTGTTTTCTTTCTTTTTTTTTTTTTTTTTTTTTTTTTTTTTTAGATTTTATCTATTTATTCGTGGGGGACACAGAGAGAGAGAGAGAGAGAGAGAGATTGAGGCAGAGACACAGGAAGAGGGAGAAACAGCCTCCACACAGGGAACCTGATGTGGGCCTCAGTCCCGGGACTCCAGGATCACACCCTGGGCTGAAGGCAGGCACTAAACCACTGAACCACCCAGGCTGCCCAAGACTATTGTTTTCAAAGGAGCACTCTGGTTGCCATGCTGACAATAGATTGTGGGGAATGAAAAGCATACATACATAATCTTAAACCTTAAAGGGACCGCTAAGGGTAGATAATACCAATCTTACCTCTTACAACAGAAGGGAAAAGTCCATAGTGAAACCAGTCAGTGGCAGCTTCAAGATACAGCCAAGTCACTCAAGGGCTGATATGGTGTTGGAGGGCCATACCACTCTGCCCTCTGGGATGCAAAGGCAAACTGGAGTTGACCAGGCCAGGAGGCTTCTACCTGAATGCAGAGAAGCTGATGAAAAAGGATTTATTTATTCGAGGACTAAGAAAACTTGCAGGGATTCTGGTACAGGCTCTGCTACTCGCCATATCACCTTGGGCAGGTCACTTTGCTTCTGTGAACCTCAGTTTCCTCATCTATAAAACAAAATGATACAACTAGATAATATGGATGTCAATGACATTTTCATACCTGCAATTAGGTTATTTTTAATACACTAGGAAAATACCCAGGCCAGGGACGAAATTGAATTTCCATTACAGGAAATGACTTGTCAGGCACAAGGCAGAAGCAGGAAGCTTCATGACAATGCAGTAGAAGTTATGGCAGTTTACCTTCAAGCATGGGGGAAAAGCAAATACTTACAGAGCTAATGTGCCGGCGATGTTTTTCATGTCCTGGAAAAGGAGAAAGGCAATTCCAGAAAAGAGAAGGAAGCCTAGGAATTACCACCATGTGCTCAACCCCACCTTAGATCCCTCCCCACCACACCCCTCTGCTGTGGCATTTTTCCACTCTACAATCCCGTCTCCTGTCATACATGAAACTTTCCAGGGAATTAAAACTACTCCAGAAACACACAAAGCCTAAAAGCAGACATTTCTGCACTTGTGACAACTTTTTACGTCCTGGAAATAAATGGATACAAAACCCCAGACCCATCCCTGCCTCATCTAATATTTGTTATCACAGGCACAGCTCAACCCTGCTTTGGGACTTCCTCCAACGAAACTGACTCCACACCAGGCAACACTGCTAAACCAGCAACAGCCAAATCAGGTAAGCGTCCACAGTGGAGAACATCTGCAGACCAACAAAGGGAGCATGTTAAGACTAGTAAATTTAAAATCAAGATATACACCAGGTCTTATGGCTGAACAAGAGAGGATGACATTCTCTTGGGAAGAAAAAAACGAATCAACATGCCTTTTGAAAATTTTGAGCAGGAAAAGCAAAACATCTTCATTCTTTTTCTTTCTGTCTCAGTAATAATTTGGTTTAGCAACCAACAGTAAACTCTGAAAAGCAATAGCTACACCTATAGACAAAGCTTGGTCATCAATGCTCTTGAAATACTGTGACATAATCATATGTGGTAGCTGCCAGAGCCAGCAGGGATTAAGATACTTCTACATAAATAACTGCAGATTTCCTTATAATCTTTTTAAGTTCTTTTGTTACTGATGAGCTGATGTTACCATAAAATCTGTTTCTTCAAAGCATATTGAAAGACTTTTGAAATCTACATTGTCTCTTGGCTACCCCCTTCTTCCCACTCCAACCCTTGTTCTGCTCTAAAGGATCCCTTCTTACCTACACCTAAACTTTGTGAAATAGTACAATAACACCAAAGTCTGAAGCCTTTTTTTTAAATTTATGGACATTAGAGAACACTCAAGACAGGACCGCATCTCACTCCTTAAGGAACCTGAAGCTTATACAATTTAGGGATCCTGTTTAAGAAAAAGAACACAAAATTAGATATGTAAAATTACATATGAAAGTGTATGAGATAAGAAATAAGAGCCAATTACACATTTTTAATCTCAACACACTGCTACGATGCCTCTGAGGGCCACGGAAAAGATCAACACTGATAAGAGGTCCCAAAGCTTAACCTCCATTCACCTTCATCCTAAATCCATCTGTGACAGGAGTATAGGTACTTGAGGATATCACCACTGGCAGCGCGCTGGAAACAGACAAGCTCTGTTCTTACCTCAATTTCAATGCCCTACAGGTCTTCCCCTCTTTAAGTCTAATACCACTGACACAGATGTTCACGCTGGCATCAGATCTGCAGCTGGTAAGTACCCTTAAATCATTTTAATATCCACTGTTAAATATAATACCTAATGTTGAGTATATCCACAAACACACACACACACAACACACATTCTTTGTGGGTAAGTTGAAAAAGTACACAGAAAAGTCAGAGCATGGGATGCTATTCAGTATAACATTAAAAATTCCTCCTAGTAAATGGGCTTTTAGGGGAATTAATCAAATTCTCACACCTTTACTGCTTTAGTTCTTCTTATGTCTTCTTCAAGGTCCTCTGCACATTCCCCTGACATATTTTCCTCACTGGCCTCACAATGTCCACACACCTACACAAACGCTATAACTACTATCATCATCCCAACAAGAGCAAACCAGAAGGGGTAGAAAGATCTTCATCCTTCTCAAGGACTATCTGTATAGTTGACTCTGTCTGGGAGAGGAAACATAATAAATTCCTCTCCTGATTAAGGTGGTCAAATTTAAATACAGTATTTAGGCCATATTCAGACTAGATATTTCATTGTGACCCTCACCATTTTTATGGGACTACCTATGAAGGAATTAATTTCTTTATAAGAAAGTTAGCAAAAAATCCCATGAACCATAGTTATTATAGTCAAAAGAGGAAAGTGAGGATAAAATCATCCAAGTAATCCTCGAGAAAACGCGTTCATATGGGAAACGTTAGTCCTGCACATTAGGGTTGTACCAGTAGACTAAGTAAGTCCCCGAAGTCTCTACATCTAATTCCTAATGCAATAGTATATCACATACTAGTTTTTATGTGTGAATAGTAAGTGTATACATGTGCCTTGCAAATCCTCCCTTCAAGCATATTTTGCATTTGGTAAATACATTTTAGTTTCTTGAATGTGCAACACATGACACACACAATGACAATCTTCTCCGTTGTCCTACAGCTAAATCCTGCTGCAGGGATGGCTTCTGGTACCCAGACACTCCCACTCAGCCTGGGGGTATTGAACACACAACAGCAGCTGCAACCCCAAGTAAGTTCAAGACAGGAGTTCAGTTCAACTTCAAGGAGTATATTCTATCTAGAAGCCTAAAGGGGAGGAAAGAATTTTTTAAGGTTCTTACAAGTTTTACCCAGAGGAGCACCTGGGTGGCTTGGTCAGTTAAGCATCAGACTCTTGGTGTCGGCTCAGGTCATGATCTCAGGGTCCTGGGGTGGAGCCACACAGCTGGTTTCATACTCAGCATGGGGTCTGCTTGGGATTCTCTCTTTCCCTCTCCTACCCCTGCCCTCTCGTGCGCTCCCTCTTTCTCTCCCTCTTTCTCTCTCTCTCTCTACCAAATAAATATTTTTTTATATATAAAGTTTTTATTTACTTATTCACAAGAGACACACACACACACACAGAGAGAGAGAGAGAGAGAGAGAGAGAGAGAGAGGCACAGACACAGGCAAAGGGAGAAGCAGGCTCCACGCAGGGAGCCCGATGTGGGACTCGATCCTGGGTTTCCAGGATCACACCCTGGGCTGAAGTCGGTGCTAAACTGCTGAGCCACCCAGACTGCCCAATAAATAATTCTTTTTTTTTTAATTTTATAAATTAATTTTTATTGGTGTTCAATTTACCAACATACAGAATAACACCCAGTGCTCATCCAGTCAAGTGTACCCCTCAGTGCCCGTCACCCATTCACCCCCACCCCCTGCCCTCCTCCCCCTCCACCACCCCTAGTTCATTTCCCAGAGTTAGAAGTCTTTATGTTCTTTCTCCCTTTCTGATATTTCTCACACATTTCTTCTCCCTTCCCTTATATTCCCTTTCACTATTATTCATATTCCCCAAATGAATGAGAACATACACTGTTTGTCCTTTTTGAACTTGGCCACAGTAACCGGAGAAGGACAAACCAATAAATAATTCTTTAAAAAAAAAGTTTACCCAGAAATTTACAGAGGGATGTTCAATTAAACATAGAACATTTTTGGCAATTTGCTCCTTGATGAAAACTCACCAAGAAAGCTGAGCACACCACCCTATAACCTCTCTAAAATACATTTGTAATGAGTAACAGGAAAATGCAAGGCACTGAGGAAAACTGAAAAGTAAACAAATATAAAGGAGGAAATCGAGAGATAGCAGGATTCTTTTCTAGCTTGCTCTTTTCTATAGAAGACTTTCTGGATGACCAGAATCATCCCAAAGAAAAAAATCAAGAGATGAATTTGCATCAAGTCTAATCTTTTTGTGTGCTTGTTCCATGCCCAAGTCCCCAGTGACTTTCTAGTTCCTTCTCCCCTCCCATCATTACTGGCTTTCAGGAAACCCTCCCCCCAAAAAACCCTCTGTCACTAAGATTTAAATGGCATACGTAGAGCATCACTCTTACCAGAGGTGTTGTGTTTTAACAAAAGACAAAGCCCAAGATTTACCTTCTTGAAACTTCTCTAAATACCTTAGTGACTGGAGAAATACATAATGATCTCTTTACAGCTAGACTAAATTGTTTAGAGGTAACTTATTCTCTGTAACAGATTAATCTGTCTTTCCCTGTCTTTCCCACATAATGATCTAATTTTTTGTAGAAGCGTCTTTATGTATTATATATATTGTTTGTTAATTATAGAGAATGGAGAAAATTTAGAAAACCAAAAAGAAAAATAACCCACCCATAATCCTACCAGCCAAAACTAAACACAGCCAGCATTCTAGGGTATGTCCTTCCAGTTGTTTTTCTACACATATAAGTACATTTTTTAAAGAAAATATATTCTTACTATGTCTAGTGTTCTATAATCTAATTTTTTCACTTAATGCATTTTGAATAGTTTTTGTATTTTGAAATATTCACTTACAAAATTGTTTTGATTGTTTAATGTTCTATCATACTGCAAAAAAAATTTTTAATCAAAATTTTTGCTTCTGTAAAGAGTATTACAGTGAAAACACTTTAACTAAGTCTTTAACCATATCAATGATTATTTCCTTAGAACCAGTTCTAAGGAATAGTATCTGTGGGTCTAAAGGTACACAAAAGTGCAAGACTTCTAGTACATGTTCCCAAATTATGAAACATACAGCAATGAGCCAATATATTCTAATCATCTTCCTACCTCTCTGGACACCTCCAGGTCATATTAAGAGCAAGCTTGTATTAATTAGTAAATGTAATCAAAGCTGGGTGTAATTGACAAAATAATTTGAAGTTGCTTAATTTAAATTCTATAGCATATGCAACTGATACTTTTCTCTGTATTTTCATTGTCCAAAATAACAGTACAAGAAACCCTATATTGCTTCATTTATTCCTCTTTGTGAAATTCTGTGACATAACTAATTTTTACATTTCTTTTTTAATATTGAGATGGATATAAATCAGCACTTACTTCTTACAGATATATTAGAGCCTTCACTCAAAGTATTTGCCGCTTATTTATATCTTAATAATAAAAGTGATCCTCTGAAAAAGACTAGAAACAAAAGCAAGTAAAATGAGACTCTCTTTAAACATGACCCTGATGTAATCCATATGCTAACTCTACAGCTTCAGTTTCAATTGTTGCCCAGCTCTAACCTTGAAGTCCAATTTGGCACATCTTCATATTCACCGAAGAATATCCACTGCAGTCAAAGGCTTTAGTAGGCACTGTAGATGACCCTGAAGGTTCAGCAGAGAGGGTGTGGCATTGCATGCTCCCCAATATGCAATAATATAAATCAATCACCATACTTAGTAGGGATTCTTCAATGTCTTCAGGATATGCCACCACCAAGTGTCCCCATATGTGACCTCCTGTGCAGCCCCAGCCCTTCCAATCCTGAGTCTCCGTATGCAGCGTGACCTACATCCTCTGCCAGAAACCTGGGCACCTGTCCACAGCTCTTATTTATCAACATGAGGCCAACATGATTAAGGATGAACTCTAAAACCACAAAACTCTGGCCAAATCCCAGCTCCCTAGTTATACGTGTGTGAGTTACTTCACTCTGCGGCTCATTTTCCTCATGATTTAAAACAGGGATTAAAGTAGAACCTATTTCGAGGGCTGTTAAAAGGATTACATAAACAAGTAAACATAAAGCACGTAGAATAGTACCTACCACACAGAAAACACTCAGTGTTAGCTATTTTATTTCAAACAATTCCTCCACCAAAAACTAATACAATTTTTTTCTCTTTACTGTTATATTGGTGAACAACTAAATTATCTTTTATGACACTTCATATTCACACATCTGTGGTTTCCTATTTGTATCTTTTTGTTCCTTCTAATTGGCTTTTAAAGAAGAAATCTCAATTATGCTTTTTTCCAAATCCTCAGTACCCCTTCCCTTCAACCCATTTTCCCATCGCCATTCTGAAGAATAGTTGGGCTTTTTTTTGTCAGTAGCCAAGGATCTGACTGACAGTAAGGCTTTTTCTTAAATGTATATCCTAAATGTGTGTGTGTACCTTTTGGCATTATGGGTATTACTGTACAAACTATCCTGAGAAATAACAAAGTTAAGAGTCTGCTTCATAAGACTTCCACATCTTTTGGGTTGGTTAGTGTCAAAATTCCATTTGGATAACTTTCATGACTCTATGTGAATTTCTGTAAAAATAAAAATAAATTTTAAAACCCTAGTTCTCTGTACAAATTCGAGATTAGTTCTTAGAGTATCAGAGCATGCCAACACCTCACCCCAATCTTTTCATCTAAAACTTCATAAAATGTATGTGGTTATCAGTGACCTGTGAAGTAGTTCTGACTTACTTCTAAGAACTCTGCCAGTATCTAGATGATAGAATGATATTAACTGTAATTTTCTACCAGTGCTTTATTTTAACAGCAAAATATCCATCCAGATTACCATTATGAGACTAAACACATATACTACATTAAATCTTTGTATTTTAAAAATCCGTTTTTAATGTGTCTTGTGAGATGTCATATAAAAGAAACATGCATTCTACTATTCTTATTGGTTGTACAGTTTGAAGATAGCTCGAGACCAAAATTATTCTTTGCCCATTCTATTCAGTAACTAAATGTGCTGCCTTGGACTGATTTCTAAATCTCTCTGGGTCTAATCTGCTTTTTTCAAATTGGTTGACTTCCAATTCCCAATTAACTCTATGAGTTTCTACCTATGACTGTAGCTGTAACAAATATTTATTCAATGAATATTGTATACTTTTAAGAAAATCTCAGTATTTATATCATCTGCTAGAACTTATCTTTGAATATAATTTTAATTGAATTTTTCACTCTTTTTCAGATGTTACCAGTTATTGTAGCACACCTTGGAGCCCATGTAAGATTATTCTATAATGCAATTTTTATTTTATATCATCTTAGTTTGACATATGTCATCCTGCCTCAATTCACCAGATAGTTGCCAGATTTCTTATTTACTTTGCACTGTATAAACACTGGTTATGATGAGCTAACCCTTATTGAGCATTTATTACACACAAGACACTGTTCTAGGTATTTTATTATTTGTTATATACTATCTCAGTATTCATACCAACCTTTGAAGATAATATTTTTATTTCTAATTTGAAGAACAAATGGAAATACAGTTCTTCAGTTACAATCACACAGTAAATGTCATGGATGAACTAGTCAGCCCTTTAAACCATACAGCTAAGAAAAAAATTAATGGGACTGATCTAATGATTAATGATTTGGGGGATTTCTTTTTCAATCTCAAATTTACTTATTAACTATGTATCTTCTCCCTAAAAATAATACAAACACCTTCCTTTCTCCCTATTTTCCTTTATGAAAGGTAATACTACTTGAGATCACTGATAAAATTACCAAGGGTCAAGATCATATAGGACCCACATCAGGTGGTAGCTTTAAATTCTGAAAGCAGAATCAGATAGAAAGTCTGTATCAATTTTTAATTCCACATCTGGGAACACAACCCAATGAAATAATCTGAAATATAGCAAAGGTCTATTTACAAATATATTAATCAAAATAATAATATATGTGATAGAGAAAAAAAATTGGGTGCAACTTAAATTTAAACAAAAGGAAAATGATTGAGTAGGTGGTGCAACGTAAAAGCAAATACTTTGTGACCATTCAAAAAGTACATTTATTTGGATCTGTCACTGGTAAGGTTAAATAATAGTTGGTGTATTATTAAAAGAAAAAATAAGACCCAAATTACATAAAGAGCTTATATAAATTATATAAATAACTTCTATTATATAAAAAAGAAATGTGTGAAAAACATGTAGAAGAAAATCCATCAGGCTCTTTATGACAGAATAATATTTTTTTTCTTTGTTGCTTTCTGCATTTTCCAAGTTTCCTCCAATGTACATATATTACTTAATAGTAGAAAAATATATGTTTTAAAATTCAGAAGACTTCACATCACTCAGATCTTAGGTATTAGCAGTCCAATATCATAAAGTGACTTGAATTATCTGAAACAAGTCATAAAGGCAATTAAAATACTGTTGAAAATTTTTAAATCTCTTTACAAATTTTAAAGTATTTTAAGTTTTTAAATTATATTATACATACCTTACCTCAAATATATTAAACTTTGTCTAACAACTTGTGTTATTATTTTCCTTTTAGGGAGCTATCCTGAGCTCAGAGGAATTGGTAAAAAAAAAAATTAAATTACTAGCATTTCAAATTCTTCTCATGCTATCACAATCCTGCTTTCTGTCACCACACAATCTCTTTTTACCACAACCCTTAAATCTGGTGTATATTATTGTAAAATGAACATTTTTTACAGATCCTTGCATTGAGATACCTTTGTCTAGCTGAGGATTTCACTATCCTTCTCCAACTACTTTTCCATTAATTTGACTTAGCTTTTGTTTTCCATATGTTGATATTAGATTCAATTCTATCCAGAAATTCAATGCATATTTTTAACTTTATATCATTAAAATCTAGGATTATCAATGATCAAAAAACATGCAATGTTGAATAATATACTTACTGGTATTTGTTGCAAGAAAAATTAATTTCTTGGCTTAAATTTTTAATATTTATGGGAAAAGTTCTAGCATTTTATCCTGATGGATGAACTCTTCCCTACACACATAAATAACTAGAAGGCTGAACCTAAATAATACTCATCTTACCATTATTAGATACTTCTGTATCTTTCCCCATAAGTCATTTTTAGAAAAAAAATGAATTAATGTGATATCTAAACATGACACTGAAGAGTTGAGGCATTATCTGGGAAGACAGGTTTTCTTTTAAGTCTTTCTATTATGAAAAAGGTAGAGATTTACTAGATTTTTCACAAATGAAATCAAATAATGGGGCTGTTTTTCAACAATGTTACATGAAAGCCCACATTTACCATTAATAAGCCAATTTTGTGTAAGAGACACCTTCTAGATCTTTTATATATATAGCCTTTAATCCTCACCAAATTACAAACCACAGATATTTTTTAAATAAACTTTATGCCCAGTGTGGGGCTTGATCTTGACCCCAAGATCAAGAGTTGCATGTTCTGCAAACTGAGTCACCCAGGCAGCCCACAAAGCACAGATTTTTTAACCCAGGTATATAGATAACAAAACTGAGGCTCAGAGAACTTAAGCTATGTTGGTCCCAAGGTCAAGAAGTAGTAGATTCAGATCAAAAGTCATTTTTCTATCTGCTATACCAGTGGTTTTCAAACTTTTTAAAGTAAAACTCATAGTAATAGCTGTATCTTTAATGCAGCTAACACACAAACACACACACATACACACTTCATGAAATAGTATTTACCCTTACTATATGGAATGCACTTGGTAACTTATAGTCTATTCTTTGTGTCTTATTTTTTAATGATAGGCCTTACCACCTTCTTTATTTCAAATCTATAGATGCCATGACCCCCAGCTTGAAAACACTGTGTTCCACTCCTGTCTCTTTTCTGGCATAAGTCTAATTCTGCCTTTAGTACCTGGTAAATCTAAGACAGTGTTTTCCAAACTTCAGTCTTGGATCACCAAATCAAGACAATTCAGGGTGCTGATAAAAATGCAGATTTCTGGATCCTGCCCTAGATCAGATCAATCAGAATGTCTCTAACAATGGAGCCTGGGAATTTAAACAAACTTCTCAGGAGGCTCTTACACAAACTAACAATTAGGAACTATGCCCAAAGAAACTGGCCTATATCTTAATTATGAGCCCTCAAGCCTTCCTATTCTATGTCAACATCACTGGAACTGAGGAGTTTCAGAGAACAAGTTCCTGCCTGAACTTTCTCCAAATCAAGTTCATACTAAATTATTTCTTTTTAGGAGGAACTTATTACAGTAATATTTTCCAGGAAAAATAAATAAATATAGGCAGCAACAATGTTTTTATCCAGTATGCAAATCACTGACAAACCTACACAGAAGAGTTCCTTTAAGTAACCTCAAGGAATACACAAGTTGCTGAACTGACAAGAGAAGTATTTCTGACTGAATATTCAATGCCCTCAAAAAAAACCAAAAGAAACTTGAAAAGATGCAAACCATGAGATGAGGATTGATTGACTAATTAATTTTTCCCATTAATTTTTTGTCTCCTAAATTCTTTAAAAACTTCTTGGCAAAAGAGAGACTATAATTTAGGTCAGTAGCAGGGATATAGCCCAGCATAGTTGTATGGATTTTCTACCTTAGTTCTACCTCCATGTAGACCTGAGATGAACAAATTATTCATTATTCCTTTTCCCATGATCCTTTCTGAGGAAAATAAAATACAGCATGGAATTAGTCATGAAACCAGCACCAGGCTTGATCAGGAGAGGGAAGCATTTCTTCTGAGAAATGCCTAATCTTTATTATTTTCTCTGACTCTACTACCCTTTCCATCTTGCATTCCTGCCCCAACTCACTGCCCTTGAAGGAGAAAAGGCTGGTTGACCAGCCTTAAAATGTGTCCTTTTGACTTTGTTTGCCTTTTCCTTTCCTCATTCCAGCCAGGGTCCCCACAAATCTTCACAGGCCTCATTTTTCAGCCACTGTTTCCTGGAGCCATCCTGCCTACCAGTCCAGCTAATCCAGATGCCCAGAATGGAATCCTTCCTGCAGGGCAAGCAGGAGGGAATCCTGCCATCCAGGGAACCCCGGAGAGCTTCTCCACAACTCCCAGCGACACAGATGATGACTTTGGAGTGACCGCCCCTGCAGGCATCCAAAGGGGCACACACACTACCCAGGAAACCACCAGTGGGCCACCAAATGGTAAATGTTCTGAGCCAGGAAAATGCTGCAGGAGTTCCTGCAGAGTGGGAACAGGGTTCTTTGTCTTGCCTTGACAAATACAGATCCTAATAAAATCAGGGCTCCCTTTTACCTCATACAAATGATTCCAGCAATGTGAGGGAATATTTTTACTGGGCCACCAATCCTATTGTATCAACCCAGAAAGGAGACATTTACTTGCTGGCGTTTAATAGAAAATATTTAATAGAAAATAACATATTTTCTATCTTAGGTTGGACCTGGAAGTCTTTGGAAAGAGACTGTGCTCTCCCTTTCTTATCTCTCTGTCTGACCCCCAAACACAGACAGGTCTACAACAGACACAGTTAATCAATCATTGTACTCTTGTCCACTCACTGATCATGGATGATACACAGAAACTTCTTAACATAGCATTACAAGCAGCCACTAGTAATAGTTGCAAAACTAAGCTCATTAAGCATCAATAAGCAGAGACAAACATTTAACATGTAGGGATGTCTAGAACCCAATGTCCTTGGAAATAACAGAAGAATGATTTGATATTGATACTCTTGCTCCTAGAAAAGAAATTTGATCTCAAGTAACAATGTTTAAATCTGATATGATATGCTTTTACCTACCTTTAAAAAGTGTTTTATTTTCTTCCAGGAACTCAGTAAGCTGTTTTGAATTTTTTCAACTAAGCTGCCTGAAATGTGGTGATACATGCAAATAGATGGAGACACACTAGAGACTGTCAGAAGAAACTCTTAGTTTACCTAACTTTCTTGAAATTTCAGAAAACATATTTCTCAGAATATGTTCAGAAGAGAATAATGACTTCTGGAAAAAAAAATTGAATGGATACATTTGCTATGCTACCTTGGACCTGGAAGATATACATATTAAACGTATTTTGAAACTGACCCTTTTTCTTCTTTGGGGATGGAAGGGTGGACCCTTTCAGAAATTACATTACCTCAGGACACTTAGATCTTGCTGCAGATGGAGGACTTTCTTCGGAGTAGGGATACTACAGTCATGGAGGGGATGGGATATTCAGCAATATAAGGATAAGTTCTGATTTCTTTTTTTTTTTTTTAGGAAGACCTTTTTTTTAAAGATTTTATTTATTTATTCATGAAAGACACAGAGAGAGAGGCAGAGACATAGGCAGGGGGAGAAGCAGGCTCCCCGCTGAGCAGGGAGGCTGACAGGGGCTTGATCCAGGACCCTGGGATCATGACCTGAGCTGAAGGCAGATGATTAACCACTGAGCCACCCAGATGCCCCTGGGAAATCTTTTTCTAGCACTTTTAATTAGTATCACATGACACTAATGGAAAAATAGTTTTGGAAAATTGAATCCCGATTCATTGTCCTTTGGCTGTGAAAATCAATTTCATAAATATTTACTATAGTTTTTTCTTTTTCAGTGGGAATTTATGAAATTGATTTTTTACATATGTACTGCAATAGCAAATATATTCTTGGCAGAAAAGATCTACCCTTTAAACAAGGCACCAATGAAAACTGAAATCTCCGCTTGCAAATTTACTCTCTGGTAGAATTTTCCACAGACCAGCTTCTGGCTTTAAACAGTATTAGAGCTTTTTCCTCTACCATTACCACATATTTCTGCTTCCAAGCACCACAAGACAAGTTCATATTTCAATACCAATTCTTGCCTTTCACTCTGGTGTCCCAACATTTGATGGGGTGAGTCACTGGGGCAGTAGGGTAGGAATATTCCCAAGAGCCATTCCTGAAATGAAACAACCAGAGCAACTTCATATTCACAAACCACATAAATATACCCCATTATACCCAAATTCAGTGTGTCTCCAAATCAACCTTTCTTAGGCAGATCCCAAAAATGCCTATGATCATTTCAATGCTATTTGACACAAGACGGAATAAGATGAAAGGAAAATCAAGGTGGAGAGAGTCAGATGTTTTCACTGGTTGTGGTTAAAATATCTTACTATTTCAAGAGCTGTAAAACATAAGACCCTGTGAGCAAATTACCGGCATCTTCTTAGGGCCTTGGAAGGGAACTATTCAAGTGAAGAGCTCTGGAGAGTAAATTTAAACTTCATTAGCTTCATCATAAATCCATCTCTGCCTTCCCACCTTTATCCAGATCTAAACATGCTCTCTGCCCTTCCTCCCCCGGTATTTTGTGAGATTTTTTTTTACATTAATCTTATTTATGTCCTTATATTAAAAGGGCAAAAATGTCATAATAATATCTATCTTGTTCTAGGTGACAAATTGTTCTTGGAGCACAAAGAAGGGGGAAATAATATATCCTGAAGGCATCTATGTGGAAAGCACAAAATATTTTTAGAAAATTGAATTCTAATTTACTCTTCACATGATAATGGGTACCAAAGTCTAAAGAAATACCATCTAGTAGAAATATATCATGAACCATATACGTAATTTAAAATGTTCTAGTAGCCACATGAAAGAGGCAAAAAGAAATTAATGAAATTAATTTTGACAATACATTTTATTTAACTCAATGTATATAAAATGTTATAATTTGACATGCATACGATATTTAAAAATTAATTATCTGTTTTAGATTCTTTTGGGAGGTTCTAACCCTTTATATTTTTTCACGCTTTAAAACTTTATTTGCGTATTTAAAAAATTGTGCATTCCAATAATCAAAATCATTCGGACAAAAAAATGGCACTCCGATTAAACTGCATTTTAACAGCCTGCGGGATGCGCTAGATCTCACCGTCCTCCCATCCCACCCAGCTTCTTCCTTCACCAACATGCAAGTCATTTTCCTTCCCTGCCAGCCAGACAGACAGGCAGATGGGAAAGGCAGGCGCCTTTGTCGTCAGTACTTCTCCATTCTTTGATGTGAAAAGGGGCCGCACAGTCATTTAAACTTGATCCAGGGGATCCCCGGGTGGCCCAGCGATTTAGCGCCTGCCTTTGGCCCAGGGCGCGATCCTGGAGACCCGGGATTGAATCCCACGTCGGGCTCCCGGTGCATGGAGCCTGCTTCTCCCTCTGCCTGTGTCTCTGCCTCTCTCTCTCTCTCTCTCTCTCTGTGTGACTATCATAAATAAGTAAAAAATTAAAAATAAATAAATAAACTTGACCCAACCGCTTTGCATCTTACAAAGGTAAACAGCTAAAAGAGGTAAAACAAGAAGGCATTGCGGTATGCACAGTGCAGTTGGCGCACGCCCCACTGCGGTTCGCCTGCTTGCTTCTCCGGTTCAATCGCTTCTTTCCAAGGCAGCGGATTTTTCTCTTGCGTTTCTGTCTTCTTCAATTTCGACTTCTCGAATTGCTCGATCTCAGCCATATCGGGTTTGTCTGACACGGTTGCAGAGGAAGCGGAGCGAGGCGCACGAGTGAGCTGGAGAGGGGAGAGGGATCCACTCTGTGCTGCGGTCACTGCCCAACCGGCTCTGAATCTTTAGAATCAGATGAGTATTTCTGTGTATATCTCAGTTTAAACCAGTTACACTTCAGGTGCTCAATAACACAGGTAGTGAGTCGCTACCATATTGAACAGTGCAAGTCTAGATTTAAGGAAAGAGCCACAAGTTTTAAAAGTAGAACTCCCGGGATCCCTGGGAACCTACAACTTCTTTAAAAAGGGTCTGTTAATTTTTTTAAGATACCCAAAAAAGCATTTGTTGGTGTTTTAAAATATTAGCCCACAGGGCTTATAAATTCATACTGTTCAAGCCAAGAGATAGCAAATACCCCCCCTAGTGGTCCTGAGGCGGAAAAACTAAAAGTGTATCAATCAAATAAAGGCAAGGAAAAAAGAATAGCCCTATTAGGAGAAGAAGGCACTTTTAGAAACAAATTTAGTCTCAAATCTGATAGATATCCATAAAATCCAAGTTAGAACTCACATAAGAAAAATGTTGAGGAAAGATCAACATCTAAGGAAAATCAGTAAGTGTATAAGCAAAGTAAGCGATTGATGCCTTATACCATAGGAGTGACCTGGAAAGGAGGAAACAAAATTCCATAACTCCTCCAACTTTCTAAGTTCTCCCTTGGGTAAAAAGACCCATACAGCCGGGAATGAAATCACACTAAAAGAGCCATAAAATGCAGCCTCATTCTCCCAATGAAATATTGGCAAACCTCACCAATCTGTAAACATTTAATCTAAGATGTTAGGAGCCACATTCAGGAAACTTAACAGAATTAAGCAAACATAAGTTGAACTTTTAATTATTAATATATCTAAAACTTTAAATTTGTAAAACTAAAACTATGTACCTAGCATGAAATGAAAGTGGTAGATTTTAAACCACACAGGACAAATAATTACAATTATTAATTTCAGAAAAAAAAATTAAGAAATTTCTTGCCAACCAAGAAACAGACCCTTAACTATAAGAGAACAAACTGATGGTTACCAGAGGGTCGGTGAGTGTGGGGATGGGTTACACAGGTGATGGGGATTAAGGAAAGCACTGTGATGAGCACCAGGTGATGTATGGAAGTAGCAAATCACTATTTTGTACACCTGAAACTAATATTATATATATGGTAACTAACTGGAATTTAAATAAAACTTTAAAAAATTTTTAAATTAAAAAAGAAAGACCAACTAGTTTGAATTAAACTTCCTTTAAATTTATAACCACAAGAAAACAACACATGTAAGAACATCTTATATTCCTTCTGGAATCTACTAAACATTTTTAGAACCTAAGAGCCTATAGCATTTTATTTTGGTGTCCCTGTGCATCTGAGAATAGGACAATTTGAGAAGTCATAGAAAACAATCCCGGAAGAAAGTTAGGACATATAAGATCACTTTCTGTGCAGATAATGCACTCCTTCCCACTACCGTTTCAGGTGGATAGCCGTCACTGGTTTGGGTGGACCTGTACATGTTGCCGATTGCATCCTCAGTATCCTGGGAGCAACTTCCTGAAAGGCAATATGTATTTCTTAAAACTTTTCATGTCACCCTAATTCTAAGCTTCTGACCTATGTTTTATTTATTAGGTCTTTTTTTCTTTTTCAGCTGTGTCTAATCTGCAGCTAAACCTGTCTATTGCTTTCTAATTTGGTTTACTGGCATTTTCAATTCTAGAATTTCCATTTGGCTCTTTTTGAAATCTGCTATAGTATATCTATAGTTTCTTGGTCCCTGACCAGTTTTTCAAGCTTTGCTTTTATCTCTTTGAATATAGTCTCAGGTTTTTCAAAGCAAAGTATAATCCTAGTTATCTTGATTCTAATTTGGTCTCTCCTATTTTGTTTTTCTTCTCTTTCTTACTCATGTGATCTTGCCTCCTATTGAATCAAGTTATCTTTGATAGCAGGTCAAATGTTGTTACTAAAAATCTTTGTAGAAACAAGGCCAGAGAATATTTTTGTTTGTTTCTGCTAGGAGCCCAGAGGAACATCAGTTTATATCATCTTCACTCAGTTTGAGAGTTTGAGATTTTTCTGGTCCACTCAGATAATAGAAAGCCTGGCTGCAATTGTTCCAGGACTTACTTCATTCTGGTGCACCCCTGACAACAGCAGACAGTAGCTCTCCAGGGCTCCCATCTTTGGTGGGTCCTAGATTTTGACTGCTGTCCCCCTAGCCTAGCCAATCTATTAAACATGTAGGTCAGCCACTTCCAAATTTGCCACCAGCCCCAGGGCAAAAATGGCTCTGAATGCTGGACTCCCCTCTTTAGATTTATTTTTTTTAAAGATATTATTTATTTATTCATGAGAGACACTGAGAGAGAGAGAGAGAGAGAGAGAGAGAGAGAGAGAGGCAGAGACCCAGGCAGAGGGAGAAGCAGGCTCTATGCAGGGAGCCTAATGCGAGATTCAATCCCAGGTCTCATGCCCTGAGCCAAAGGCAGGCGCTAAACTGCTGAGCCAACCAGGGATCCCCCCC